TGCGAGAAAACTGAATATGATAAGATTTCTCTTCCTTTACATTTTTTTTTTTAATTATGATTTTTGCTTTTTGTCTTTTCAACAATAATAGTTATATTTGTTATTCACATCAAAAACAGGTGACTTAATGTAACTTAAGTGTATGTGATGTACTCATAGTTGTGATCAATGTACTATGAATAAGGTTGGTGTTAAAGCATCAAAAGTTGTCAGTCACCTATAAAAGTTAAAAACCTGTTCATTCATAATAAGAATGACTGAAGAAATCTTGTATTAATTAATAAGTGCCCTTTACAGAACACACTACAAGTTGTAACTAAGTTAACAGCCTATTGCAATTTTAAAATTTAAATCCTGTTAAACAAGTAACAGTTTAATAAACTGACAGAATACAAAAAACAGCTGCTGAAAGTGCAGTACAGTCATATGTTTGTGACCTGTATGCACCTCAATAATATTATTAGGCCTTTGCCGGAACGTGGTTTTTGAGTTAAAGTCACTCCAGTAAACATGAATTTCTACATAACAGGAGTGCCAACGTAGCCTGAAGTGAGCCCCACCAAGTGCACCTTTAGTCTGATGAGGTAACTCGACATTGAGAAGGTCCATTGTCTAACGAGCACTGCTACACCTAAAAGATTTCAAACCTGATGAAACAAACCATTTCCCAGTTGAAAAGTGAAATTTATTTCAAGACAAGAATTCACAGAACAATAAACCCACTACACAATATTTTTTTAAAATTAGATTCACAAGCCATCCAGAACAGTGGAACAACATCTTGACAGACAGTAACTATTAAAATGTAAACAATCAGAAGACCTAGCCTGGCAGTGGCCCTTATCATTATTAATTGTGCTATTTTGGAACAGCTCATGTTTGGTTCCCCCCCTTCAGCTTTGGCAAGCAACTGAGACAATATCTGAGACTAGTCCTTTTGAGTACCTGATGATATACAGGTGAGGGCTCAGTAAAACAATGTTATCAAGAGCCACAGCACTGAGGCAGAAACTGATGCAAATATTACATGATTAAGGTCAGTGAGCAGTCAAGACATGAGGAATGGTGCCTTCGTCGGTAGAAGCCTGAAGTTTTCCACCTTTATAGAAGAGATAGACATTCAGTTTGGTGGGAACAAAATGGCGCCAGAACACTTCAATGCCACTCTTCTCCTGGAGGAAAGAAAAGGACGAGGAAGTGTGAATGACAGAATAAGAACAGAGGCCAGAAAAAAAATACTTTAATGAACTGAAGAGGGTTTTGGCTTTTTTATTAAGATCCATGAAAAAGTGCATTACTTTTACAATGCGTCTTCCCTGGATGCCCATGGGGTCCTGGTTGATGGTGATGACCATTTTGTTCTGCAGGATGCTGCGAGCCCTGCTGCTGATGGTGCGCAAGTCATTGGACATGAAAAGAGGAGCGGCCATAATCGCCCACAGAGCCATCTGAGACCGGGAGGCCGAAGTTTCCACTAACCAGCTGTGGCGGTCATAATCACACAAGATGACGTATTTTATACCTAAAACCTTTTTTAAGACTAGCCACTGTGTCCTAAATTCATACTAGATACTAATTCCTGACAGCAGGTACTACGTACTCTAGTGTAGCGTTTTAGCAGTTAGTACACAGATACACTACTAATGTCTGCAAGTTTGGAATGTCACTGCTGTGAGTAGTTTACCTGAAAAGAAATCAGTATCATATGGCAGAAGTAAGAGTCCATTTCCACTGGGAATAAAATGGACACAAATTACTTTTATCCAGAAACACCCAATGGTATACAAGTTTATGGATCTGTAACCAGTATCCAGATATATGTATATCAGATCATGTGAAAATAAAATCTGTAATCTTCTGCACAGTATCTGTCCGTATATATGCTTCAGGTCTCCACCATCAACCCTGTCCCCAAAAAACCAAAGACCACAGGACTGGCTTTTTAAGAGGCAGAAACCCTGCAAAGCAGCCGGACCAGACTCTGTCTCTCCATCCACCCTGAAGCACTGTGCTGACCAGCTATCTCCGGTGTTCACTGACATCTTCAACACCTCACTGGAGACATGTCATGTGCCAGCCTGCTTCAAAACATCTACTATCATCCCTGTCCCCAAAAAAGCAAGGACCACAGGACTCAATGACTACAGACCTGTTGCCCTCACCTCTGTGGTCATGAAGTCTTTTGAGCGCCTCGTGCTTTCCCACCTGAAAGCCATAACGGACCCACTCCTGGACCCCCTGCAGTTCGCCTACAGAGCCAACAGGTCTGTTGACGATGCAGTAAACATAGCCCTGCACTTCACCTTCCAGCATCTGGACTCCCTAGGAACCTATGCCAGGATCATGTTTGTGGACTTCAGCTCTGGTTTCAATACCATCATCCCAGCTCTGCTACAGGACGAGCTCTCCCAGCTCACTGTGCCTGACTCCACCTGCAGGTGGATCACAGACTTCTTGTCTGACAGGAAACAGCATGTGTTCCCTTTTCCCTTCAGGAAGAACCCAGCCCCATCTGCCCCCATCATCCTGTGTGACTCCCAAGTTGACTCTGGAGTCCTTCCGCTTCCTGGGTACCATCATTACCCAGGACCTCAAGTGGGAGCTGAACATCAGCAGCGGCCTTACTGGGACCCCGGTGAACTGAACCAGTATCCGCAAAAGATGAAAAAAACGTGGTCGGGTCTGTCAGATACCTCTCCTCTTTCTCTCCTCTTCCTTTAACAGGTAAGACCCGCCCATGTGACGCTTGGACGCCAATGATTGACAACAGATGGTGCTTCTCATTAGTTACTCCTCTTGTGTTTCTTCTTCTTTGCTGAAAGTGTTAGTGCAGGTAGGTTGCAAACTCCACCCACTGCCAATTCAAATCATTGTAGTCAGTCGGTGCATGGAAATTGGTAATTAGTTGATTAATGTGGGCGTGACTTATTACAACAAATCTAAATTTCAAGAAATTTCAAAAAAATAGAAGAATCAATCTCCCGTACGTCCTACAGAGCTAAATTGCTTTTAGCACATTCACTGAATTGTGACTAAAATTGACCTCACTGCAACCTATGGTCACTATTGCTCAAAATATGCTAAATCAATTAACATCTATGCCTACCTATCATTAGTACTGTATGCACAACAGTTTCTATTCCACCAAATGTTTGGTCAAGCAGCACAAAAATATCTGACAATACACCTGAAACCAGCAGGATGATGTTTTTTGGTTTGCTTTTTCAGGATTTTTTAAACAAACAGAATTATCCCTGTCTGTGACATCACTGTCTCACATTGGGAGAAGGTGTGCAGAAAGTCTTTTTCATCCAGTGAATAGTCCAGTGGTTAAAAGTCTCATCTGTGTGGTCCATCAGTTCCAGAGGTTGTGAGTTCATTCCCTACTGAGGGCAGCACTCAGTAGAGGTGAAAGTGGAATGAAGTTCTTCTGATAAGACTCTCTCTCACACTTCACAATGATTGTTCCTGTATGATTATATTGGACATTTTCTTCTTTTTAACTGTTAGTCACCCAAAATCCTCAGGTACTACTTTTACATCACAAACAAACAATACAAAAGCAAGGTGACACTGATACGAACAAACATTTTTCCCACACATGACGTCATTTCCTTCATTCGGAGAAGGTCTGTGGGAAACTGTCAGTGAGTATCTGCTGTGGGGGTTCAAATCCTCAGGTGAGGAAGGTGGTGATTCTGCATGTGTTTTCAAGTGCTTCTCGTCACAACCTGCTTGGACCCCATTCGTTGTCGCTTGCAGCCATATTTTTAATTGGGTCAAGCCCAATTACATCTGTGATTCTCTCTGTTCCCTGTTTTCTTTCGGTTCCAGTTAACTGTTCACAGCGAGGTTAAACAAAAATAAACACTATATTGATGCATCCCAAATGAGTCAAGTCTTGACTTTCAACTGGCCACATTTGGGGAAGGTGATTTTTCACCTTTATGGTCAGTTTAATCGCTGTATTAACATATTTTACAGAATATCATACACATTGATGTCTATATTGTTTCAGTTGCTCTCTGGGAAAGTGTGTGTGACCCAGAGTGTGTCTTTGCCATACACAGGGGCTCCAGGAGAGGTGTGAGAAATACTGTTCATTTACTTAACTAAAAGTACCAATACAACAATGTAAAGGTAACTTAAGTAACAGAACAGGAGTATTATCAGCAAAAAATATATTTAAATTACCAGAAGTATTTGTGACTGTTATTTTATATTGCATATTTCGACTGTTAATGCTGATACATCCATGTATGTGTTAGTAGCGTTTTACTCGTTGAAAGGGAGCTAGTTTTAACTAATTCACTACTACATATACATATTTTCACCTTAGTGTACCTCTAACTTTTCTCTTTGATCCAAAGGATGGCATTTATCTGTCTTTTTTGTGCGGCTATAAAATGACATGGTAATGTATGTTGTGGCATGAATCATGATTAACATACATTTAAACTGATCTTGAGTTAGCAAGGCTATATATAGTATATTTTTAAAATATGTTAAAGGTCTGAAAGGTTAAAAGCTGAAAAAAGGAACTTATGATCTGAGTTCTCCATGACACTTATTCTCCATTTGATCAGAGAGGAGCTCCTACACACAGCATCTAGCAAAATAGTCCAGCAGGAGGTGCACTATGACTAAAAAAAGTCAGGTTATTGCAGCCATTGCAAATGAACACTATTCATTCTATAACCTGAATTCAGTTGCTATTCAATTATCACAGAAGTAAAAAAGATCATGCATTACAATATGTTAGTTTCTATTATGGTTATGATATTGGTGAAGCAAAGATGATGAGTTTTTAGTCCACACTGTCATATTTTGGTGGTAGATGGGCTGCATATCAGTGCAATTATTTAAAAGTATATTTAATAGGCTATACTAACTGACAGCAGTCAATATTATATTAATATATGTCCTGTGTATAACCTTAGAGAACAGGTCAATAAGCTGTCATACTGCTGCTCTGGCACACACACAGTTTCTTTTTGGTTGGTTCTGCCCAGTGACATCAACTAGGAAAAGGTGGAGCTTATGAGCTCGATGAACCAGGAGCCATGGCAGAAACAAGCGTGGGTAAGATAACCTCAGAAATGCACAGCAAAAAATGGCCACAGGAAAAGCTAAACTTGAGATTTATAACACTATATCAGTTATCCATGCAGCTGCTTTCACACGACGGACAGAGGACTCAGAGTGGATCATATGGACAGGATCTAAGAGCTGCTGCTGCGATACCTTAATCTAACCAGAGCAACCAGACAGAGCATAAATAACTCTTTTAGTAGAAAATCAACTGCACTGACAGAGTAATGAGAGTAATGTGATGGTCTGGTGAAATGTGTGTTGTTCTTTCGAATTCAGACAGACTTCCTGGTTTTAAGTTTCAGCAAGGATGCGTTCAGGTGCTTCTCACTCTGCTCTTAAAGTAACAGGAGCGGTTTATAGCAGGTGGACAACAATCTGTGCCGACAAGTGGTGGAAAAAGAATTCGGATCTATAACTCAGGGCCCCCCATACTAACAATACGCAAGCTGCGCAGGGCCCCGCAAGTTTGTAAGGGCCCCTCCTCCCCCCCCGTGTCAAAGCAGGTGTGGTTACAAGGTGGATGAGGGGATGAGCGGACTATCCGTCAAAGGAAAAAGAAGAGGAAAAAAAAAACACCATAAGAGTGAGTTGTGGGAACAGGTATTAGATAAACCTGTGTTCTCTCCATGTTTGCTGTCAGTCAATAACAGTAACGTTAACTTAATGTGCAGCGTCTCTCTCCACCCTGTCTGTCTCTCTCACAGCCGACACACAGCTCTTATTCTGTCTGTCTTCAAGGGCTGTTCTGTGACTGTGTGCCTGACTAAAGTGAGAGTGAAATACGACTGTTTGTTACGTTTGATAAACACCAACAGGCAGTAGTGTTCACAAACCGCAGCTCGGTAAAGATAACCGCGTCGCGTGTGCTGCGTTCAAGTGCGCGTGCACGAAATGAAACTCGCGAGTCCAGACAGTATATGGGGGTGTGATGGCTCCCCTCACAGACGCACATCATTTTAAAACAAGATAATGAATATCCACTCTCTCAGTGGAGGTTGAGTTACAGTTCTGTACTAGGAGATGCAAGGAAATGATTGACATTGACTATTGATTAAATATTGGATTTAAATGTTGATTAGCTGGGCATACTGTATCCAATATGAATACACAGTAAATAATAGTGTTCGGTCAAGCCATGATGCAGATATTTTCAGCCTTTAAGCTGCTGTCAGAGCCTGTAGATGTGTGGTTACATTGTATAGACAAAGCTAAGTGTTTAACACTGTAAGGACTGGACTAGTTTCTAGTCTTTATTATTTTCAACGCGCTATATTTTCTACAATGTTAATGTTAATATTCACTTAATGTTCTATTGAATCAATATTATTTGTTTGTACCTCATTCTGTTCGGTATAGATCTTCTAATTCTTAGGCCGACAGATGGAGCAAACTGTTTTAAAGGAGGGAGGATTGTAGTGGGAGCACTGGGATGTCAGGTGTAACTGTGCAGCGATGACAGATAGTTAACAGGTCAGGTTAGAGGGCCCCATAGCAGAGTTTTGCTTAGGCCCCATGGGAGGTCAGGACCGGCTTTTACTTAAGTAAAAGTAGCAATAACACAATATTAAAGTCATGACATTGCATTCAAAATGTAGCTAATAAAAGTACAGATGTTTTATGTAAATATACTAAAGAAGCACAAAAGTACTACTAATGCAGAATGACATCTTTCAGAATTATAAACTATTACATATATTATTAGATTATTTTTGATGCGTCAACATAATAAGCAGCAGTTTAATGTTGCATCATATTTTATCATTTGTTCATATGATAAAAATCTAAATGTACAAAGTGACTATCAGATAAATGTGGAGTATAAAGTACAATACTTCCATCGGAAATATAAAGGAGTAGAAATATGAAGAAGCACAAAATGGAAATACACTTTTAGTATACCATATTATTATACTAATAATAATAATAATAATAATAATAAAGCACTTGTCTAAATCAGCAGTTACAAAAGGCAGGCATAAAGAAATAAAAAAATTCAAGTGAAAACTGTGACAAATTTAGTTTAAATAGTAAGCGCAAAGGAATAAATCAAATAAATCCATCAAAAATAAATTAATAATTACTGCAGATCAAGCTTTAAAACACTTCCTCAAATTCAGTAGGCCTACTATTTTTTGTTCCACTTCCCCTGTCTGCGTAAAAGCCCACATATTTAAAACTCCATGACAAAGTAACACAGGTCTTAGGCATCTAAACGGAGGCCATGAACCGCAACGTCCCCTTTCTGAAACCTCCCTACTTTAAACTCACTAATAAAGACATAAAATGCCCCAAAATACTTTGAAAATATAGATAAACGCTGAAGACATCATCTTCAGTCTGAGCAGTATTTCCAATTAGGAGTCAGTGACACTTTAAGTGCAGAATTTAAGTACATTTACCTAATTTTAACCTGTAGTGAATAGTAGAAAATATTTTCCCGTACTTAAATCGTTGTCTTTACCCTCCTTCCAGGTGTTTCCGGTGCAATGAAAACAATGCTACAGAGTGCAGCAGTGGGTTTTGCTTTTGGAGAAGCTGCATTATTTGCAGTTCAGCCCACACTGACTGAAGACAGTGTCCTGCTGAGTGCTGCGACTCTGGCTGCTGGACGAGCCGGTTCCACCGGTGTCGGGGTCGTGACAGCGTGCCTCGTGTTCACCTCAGTGCTCATTTCCCTGGGAAGTGGGTTCCTCCTCGCTGCCATGGTGATGAAGCTATCGAACAAAGTTGGAGTAAGCCTGCCGTGGTTAGTGGAGGTCACGGCAGGAGCCTCTGTCGTTGTGGGTGCTGTCACTACTGGAGTATTAGTTGGCATCCTTCCACTGTGGATCTACATTGCAGCCCAGGGCATTCTGGTCCTTACAGTCTACTCATACTCCAATATTAACGACATGACCACGGCTCTGTTAATCATCTTCACCACCCTCTACCTCAGTGTCGTATATGGGAGAATGGGTGCCGTAGTTGGACTCTTTATTTTAGGATTGACCATTTCCCTGCTTTGTGCCCTTCGGAGGGCTCTGAAAGAGAGGATAACACAAAGACCAAAATCTAAAACCAGGTGCCAACTTTTAGAGAGGATATTCTTCTACTCTGTTTTTGTGGGGATAATGGGATTTTCAGTAGGTTTAGGGGCACGTGAAGCAGGAGAAGGGTCTGAAGCAGAGGTGGTTTTGATGCTGCAGTCGGTCCTCTGGGTAGCATTTCTGTCTGCAGGGCTGCTAGGAGCTGGCCTGGGAACAGTGGCCACGGTCGGGCTGGGGCCAGAGGCTGCTGGAAAGGTTGCTGTGGGAGCTGCTATAATATCATCAGTCGCCCTGAGAGCCATTCTGCAATTGAGCTCTTCTCTTGGGGCCCGAAGCAGCATGGGGGGAACATTAGGAGCCGCTACAGCTGCAGGAGTGTCACTCGGAGCTGCAAGTGTTGCAGCAAAACAGGCATTCGGAACGCGAAATTCAACTTTTACCATTTTAGGGTCAGTTGCTGGTGGTGCAATTCTGGCAATGCGAGGTGTGATGCTGAAAACAACTCTGCTAACAACATCAGAACTTCTGACAATCACCCTTGTTGCAGTAGGGGCATTTGTTCTGGGTGCACCAAAGAGCCCATTCCACACTCAAGTGAATCTACAAAGGGGCCTTCTCACGGGGCCACAGCTAATTATAGGAATCGGCATGGAGACGGTCACCGCAGCAGCAGCACCTATTGGAGCCGGGGCACTTGGGGCTGCAGCGTTGGGTACCGCAGCTCTGGGGAGACTGGGGACTGTGGGAGTTCTGGTGACTATAGCGTTGGCTTTGGGAAGTACTCTTAGCGGCATGATAGGAAAATCACCACCAACAACAAGCGCACACAGAGACTGATTGACTCCTGAGGTTAGGGGTCACCGACATTGAAGGGACATGTGTGCAAGTCGACATGGATAATGCCAATGATCAAAAATGACAGTTGTGTCATAAACATGTTTTATTGTGGCTTCCAGTGTTGAATAAAATGAATGACACATTTTAACAAAGCCTGTGTTTGTGTATTTATTCGACTGACAGCTGTAAAGTGCTACTGGAGGATCAAATAAACAGTCAGCTTTAATGATCTCTTTACCTCACCTCTTCACACCATCAGTGCCACATTTCCCAAGACATGACTGCAAGCTGGCAGTTACTTTGGTTTCATCTTAGCAACAGTAACAGATGACTTGCTGTTTAGAAACAGGAGAAGAGCAGGGGGTGGGGGTGGGAGGAGAGAAAAGCAAAAGAATAATATCAGAAGACTGAAGAGCATCTTAGGATAGAGTCTGCTGTGCATGATAGAGAAATATGGATTTATACATCAGAATGTTTGGTCTGTCTGCCTATACGTACTCACGTTGCCGTCTCTGAGAAGATTCTATGTTGCATGCAAATGGATATCCACCTGTTGCTCAGGGCTGTGTCGGTCTATCATGGCAGTACGCAGGACTTCAGCAGCAAGGAAGAAGAGGTTGCAAGAAGTTCCACAGAAACAGCCGGCTCCAAGACTGTGAGAAGCTCTGAGAATCTAATATACCTTTAGAGGAATTTAATGGCACCGTAAAATGAAGAAACGTGGTAATCATTTCCAAAAGTAAGCGAGGTTTCACTGTGGATATAGTCTGTAGAGGAGTCATTGAAACTTGAGAGGGGAATTATTCTCTGCACTTTGACATGTTTTTTTGTTTTGATTGAGATGGATGGATTTTTGCACAAAGTTGAAAGTTTGACAATTGTCTCCAAAAGTAGCACAGAGATGGAGCGCATCACAAGTTCACCGTGGATTCTGGCATTCTGTGCACTTCAGGAATAATGTTGCACGACAGTATTACTCCATGAGCCGAGAGGATTAACCTACAGTAAAATAACATGTCTCTGAACCGGGTCCACACGACAGACACGGAGCAGTCTGCAGAGTACTCAGTGGAGTACTCGGTGCAGGTTCCCAGTGACTCCAGCAATGGAGCGGCTCGGACTCGGGAAGTCACCGTGCTCGAGTCGAGCAGCCGCCGCTTCCTGCCGCGCGCCGTGCGCCTCACCTTTACGCCCAATTCGCTGGAGAAGCTTTACCAGAACTACTTTCGCAGACAGAGACAAGATAACCTGCTCGTGTTGGCGATGTTTGCTGCTCTTTTCAACAGCTTCATCATCATCATGTGTGCGGTGGTGTACACCGAGGACAAGCTGGCGATGGTGGTGGTCGCAGCTGTGGGGCTGGCTGCGGACGTTGCGCTCTGCGTGCTGTGCTGGCTGCAGAAGCTCCCGGCGTCGCCAGTCTCACGCGGAGCAGTACCGTACGTGCTGTGGTTAATGGTCGCCGTTCACGTTTTAACTTACATCTGTTTGAACTACGAGCGCTTCCCGCAAGCCAGCGACTCCGTGGGCTGGCAGGCCTTCTTCAGTTTCTCCAGCTTTCTGACACTTCCACTGAACCTGGTGCCGCTGCTCCTGCTCACGGCCCTCTCCTGTGGGATACACACCCTTGTACTGGGGGTGACTGTGGCGCAAAGGTTTGAGGATAACCTGCAGGGGCCCATGCTGGTGAGGCAGGTAAATATGGCCCTCAGTAAAGTGATGCATGACAGAGCCCCCTGCAACTTAGACGGTAAAAGAAGCCCCGGGGTGTTACAGGTGGCAGGTGGAGAGCGATGGATGGAGTTGGGTCGTGTAGGGTGTCCACACTTTATTTTAGAGCAGTGGTCACAAACCAAAGCTGCTGGGAACGACGGTTTTCGGGAATGATATAACTACCCAGTGGGAAATGTGTTGGCCTTGTGTCAGATTTTAAAGGCACAAAAAAATGTATTAACACAGTTCTTTCACAATGTGTTTTGTGCACAATTGTGTCACACTGATTGACTGGTGGTTATAGGGACACAACATTAAAGGTGCTCTCATAGCATCACTATGATACAATAAGGCTGAACGTTTTCATAATTATTCTAAATGAATTTGGGCGGTACACTATAATTATTCCAAATGAACTGTCTTAATTTTGTGGCACAAAATAAATTCAGTGGCAAATAAATTACTTTGTACTTGCCACATAATGCATTTTGTGTCAAGTCAAAATGAGAGTAAAATGAGAAATGGAGACAGAAAATAGAACCTTTTCATAGAGCAATTTTGGTGTTACTTACACAAGCCAAATCTGTAACTTATTTTGTGTTTATTTGTTTAACTTTTCCATTCTTTCTATGATTTATAGCCTTGATGGTATATGATAATTGTACTTGTATTCATACAGCATTTTTTTGGTATACTGACAACTCAGCTTTTCATCACTTGTCACATTCACCCATTCACACACAGTGATCACAGAGGCTACCATGCAAGGTGCCAGCTGCTCATCAGGAGCAACACAGCAGTTCTTATCCAAAGCACTCATGATGATAGTAAGCTCTTGACACACAGACTAACACACCAATGGCACATCCATGTGGAGCAATTTGGGGTTCAGTATATTACCCAAGGACACTTCAACTGGACTGAGGGAGCCAGGAAACAAGTGACCCTCCGATTACTAGACAACCCAATCTACCACCTGAGCAACAGCTGCCCCAATTACTGATAATTATAACAGAGAATTTTGAGAGAATACCTTTTATTTTGAAAGGCAGCCTATCAGAATAGATTTTTTCCTCTGTAAAATGCCAGGCAAGAAATACCACATACAGCCTCTGAATTGGTTAATCTAGAACCTACAATGCCCAAATAAAAAAATACAAACATTTGTATGCAAAATCTGAGACTTTCAAGGATTAACGACATGGCTCCACATGTTGACTGATCCCTGTGCATGAACTGAGAATTACAGATGATGGTTACAAACACACAACCTCTCTCGCTCTCTTCAGCTCTTAGCCAATGTGATGCTGTACCTGTGCGCGGCCGCTGTGGGGGTGATGTCGTACTACATGGCGGACAGGAAGTACAGGACAGCTTTTTTGGAGGCTCGTCAATCTCTAGAGGTCAAACTCACACTGGAGGAGCAGAGCACCCAGCAGGCAAGCTGAGCACCCAACACACAAACACGCATACAAATAGTCACAGGTAACCTTTTCTTAATGAGATAATATATTTTATTATTTGGGGCAAACACATACATACACATATGCACAAACACACACATACACCTGTGAGGTAGAACACCCTGTACTGCCTAATTATGGCGTGTTTTGCACAACTCAAGGCTAATAGGTTGATTAGAGAGACTTGTTGTTTACACCAGTGGAGCCACCGTCAGGGACCTGGCACCATACATACAGTCAGATTAAGCTAGGCAACAACCAACAGAGCCATTACCAAAGCTGTGAAAGGATATGAAGTTTTAACTATTTTTATTGCTTTTAATTAAGACCTTTATTGCTTATATCCTTATTCCTTTTTACCACTTTATCTCCTTTAGTATTCTATTGTCTATAATGTGAATGTTGTTCCTGGTCCATTTTGCTTCTAAGTTAATTGTCCTAACTTACCAGAGAGGGAGACTATATCATTTGTCTGTCCAAAGAGTGAAGGAGTGACACATAAACACATAAACCGGCAATGATATGTTGCCTCAAAGCCATTTTATGCTATTATGTATTTCTTCTCATGTCACGAGGGTGCTGGTATTTGAAGGTTGATGCTAATCCATAACTTTATTGAAGTAAAAGATAATGTAACCTAAACTGTCTCCAGTCATGTCCTTTCCACGATTCTGACTGTGGCAATTTGTAGGGGGAAAAGACAGCAGACCTGTGAGCTTAAAGAGGGGTGGAAAAGATGGTGGGTAGTGTTGATATGAAGATGGAGATGGAGAAACAGAAACAGATAAAAAAACAAAAAGGGTATGTAGAATTCCCAAAGGGTTGCGAGAAGACAAGTAAAACCAGCCAACCACAACACATCTGACCCATTGACAGCATCTCTTGAGGGCTGCTAGGATCTGTTTACTGCCTCGGTCATGCTATGCACACACACACGTTTACATAATGGATAACTCATTATTTTGTCATTACTGAACGTGACAAAACTCACTTTGTGTCTCCATGTAGGAGGAACTATTACTGTCCATCCTTCCCAAACATATCGCTGATGAGATGCTGCAGGGCATGAAGAACCAGGCCAATCAGCAAGAGGTCCAGCAGCAGCAGCAGTTCAACACCATGTACATGTACCGCCATGAAAACGTCAGGTCAGGATCACAAAATCAGCTTTTTGGGGCGAGATTTCAAAGCTCCACCCGTCATGATGATCATTGTTGTTGATGAAGGTTTTTACAGATTGTTAAATGCTACATTGCAACCTCTGCACTTGTGTTCCAGTATCCTGTTTGCTGACATAGTGGGCTTCACCCAGCTCTCCTCAGCCTGTAGTGCCCAGGAGCTCGTAAAGCTGCTTAATGAACTGTTTGCCCGCTTCGATAAACTGGCAGACGTGAGTGTCTGTTCTTGTATGTCTCTTCTTCTATGAAGTGGCTCAAACAATGTACAGTATAATATATTGTTGGTAGGAACACTGCTAATGTTTGATATAGCTTATAAGTAATTTTCCATGTTTTTTTTATCATAAATTGGCTACACTTTATTTAAATATGCACAACTTCTCCTGCTGTGGCATCATCTTGCAGGATCATCACCAATTAAGGATTAAGATCCTCGGTGACTGTTACTATTGCATCTGTGGTCTTCCTGACTTCAGAGAGGACCATGCCGCCTGCTCCATAATGATGGGTCTAGCAATGGTAGAAGCCATCTCGTAAGTAGTGATTTTAAATTCACATTTTTATACGAAAGACATGAAAATAACTTATATACCCAAAGAAAAGCACAGAGACAAATCAAAGGCCAGTGACAATGTAGAGATGGTATCAGTTTATTTGTATATACTTGTGTATAAGACAACAAGGAAGCACAAAAAAAAGATATGTATATAAGATATAATTTTACACAAGAAAAAAGTATAAATGAAAGGAAGTAGCAAGACAGTAGAGGAGGACGGTGGGCCCAGTCTTGAAATTGTA